AGTTTGTTTCTAATTGATTGATTTGTTTGTGGCTGATTTGCTTGCAAAGCGTTTGTGTGCAAAAAAATGCTGAGTAAAAATCAACCTTTTTGGGCTGCTTATATGGTGCTTTGGGATTTCATGAAATTTATGAAGCTTAAATAATTGGTTAAATACCCTTTTTGGTCCTTCTACTATAGGAAAAAACCCCTTTTTATCCTTATACCGAAAAAATCCTCTTTTTGATCTTTAAATTTTAAAATCCGATCCCTTTTTAGTCCTTTCGTTAATTTTTGCTCACATGACACGTTAACTTAACTAGAATGGCTGATGTGGATATGCCAACATGTCAAAGATGCTTACATGGATAATGACACCCTACATGCACCTTCTCCCATGCGGAAAATTAAAAAAAAAAAAAATTAAATACTAAATTTGATTCCTCAACTTTATAAGTTTGCACTTTTTTTATCTTAAATTATTTTTTTTTATTTTTTAATCTTTTAACTCTAATGTTCAAAAAAAAAAAAAAATCTTTTAACTCTAAAAATTACACAATTTTAATTTTTCTATTAGTTAAATATGACGTGACAGTTAAATAATTTTATTTGACATTTTTAAAAATTGTTTTTTGATGACATGACAATTATATATATATATTATAATTATGTTTTATAGATAAATAAAAATATCACGTAGATAAATATTTATATTTTAATTTAAAAAATAAAATTACATTATTACTCTCCCCTCTTAATCCCTCTTCTTCCCCTTCTTTCTCTTTCTTTCTTTCCTACCCAGATCGGCTGAGTTCGTCGAAACCCAGCTGCTGGTGGACCCATAAAAGCTTAAGGTATTGTTTGGATTGGAGGTGTCGGACGGAGAGGGAGGGGAAGGGATGGGGACGGATGGCAAGGGAGGGGGAGTGAGGGGGAGCTCTCTCCTTCCTCCTGTTTGGGTTTTCAAAGAGGAAGAGGGGGAGGGAGATGGACTGATTCGGACTCCCTCCAACTCCCCTCAAATCTACAGATTTGCAATCCGCCCGATTTGGGAGGTTTGGGAGGGATTTGAGTGGCTGTTTACATTAAGTTAAATGTAATTACAAAATTAACCTTAATATTTTTATTATATCATTCTCCATTACAAGCTTAAAGGGTAAGTTTGTAAATTTAAAATTAATTTAAATCCTTCCCTTCCTTCTTTTCCTTTTACCTTAACTATCCAAACATAAAATAATACAATTCTTCCCTTCCC